ATCAGGAAAACCAACTACTGAAGACGGATCACTCTTCACCACGACAATGCGAGCTCCCACACATCGGCTCAAACAACTGCATTTTCGAGCACTCAAAACAACGATTTGACAGGTCATCAGCTATGTAGTCCCCGGGTGACTTCTTCTCATCCCGTACGTAAAAAATAAAATGAGAGGTCAACGTTTTTCGACACTTGAAGAAGCCGGTTTAGAGGCATGAACGCATGTTTTAGAGTTACATACATCAGAGTGGCAAAACTGCTTCGAAAGCTGGATCGAGCCCATTCAAAAGTGTATAGATCTTAATGTGGAGAATTTTGAAAGGATGTAAAGCGATTTTCAAAAAATGGTACTTGTTTCTGTTCTCAAATCTCAAAATATAAAAGGCAACCTACGTATAGCTCACATTTCAGGTGAAGGTGCACTCAAAACGGCCTCAATGCGGCTGGGCTGAATGAGAAGAGGCAAAATTCGGAATCGGACTTTAATCACTTTTTTCTCCTGATAGCACCACCGATGAACCTTTCTAACATTCAAACTTTCTATTCATGTGGATTCATTTTTCGAAAGTGTAGTACTTTCTCTGCGTGATTGCATGTCTTCTATTTGTTCAGACAGTGCATTTTATACAGGAAAGGATAACATCGGACATCGCTAATGTACCCAAGTTTACTAGAGGAAGGCGTTGCTACGATGTTGAGGAAACAGCTCACGACTAAAATGGATCCTGAATTACTCTCTGGAATGAACTTGTGACCCTAGACTATAGCCAAACGACGCTGTCGGGTCGAGAAACGTATCTAAATCAGGAGCGTCGACAACAAAACTATTCAAAGATCCTGCACATTCACCAGCTACCACTGTACACGCACCAGGCACCGCAATCCAAATTCTACATTTCTTCATCTCTGCAAACATTTAGTTGCAATTACATTTACTGGAAAAAATCATCAGCTGTGCCTAATGAGACTCACCCTTGCTGTTTGCGACCTTTTCTCACTAATTTTTCAATAACGTGCCGCCGAAAATCGCCCGATCTGGTAGTAGTAGGTTGTTGAGCCAGGTTAAATGGTCCTCTTGATTGTCGAAAGTAACGCCACTCCTATGGTTCGGCGGGGAGAGGAAAAACGACAACTCGTTGGTTCAAGGCCTAAAAGGCACGCAAAGAATGCTGAAGGACCTCACATTGAGGTCCTTGAAGTGCGTCTCTGACTACTTGTGCAACATGAAGCCTGGCATGGTCAAAAAGAAGTATAATTGGCCTCGTCGAGGCGATCTTTCAGTCGCCAAACGGTGTAGCTGGGCTATGTAGTGCTCCAGTGCTTGGTGGCCGTGACTATCCTTCCTAGCATGTTCTAAAAAAAATGCGATGCTCTTCACGACTCTCTTAATTGAGTTTAGGAGCCCTTCCGTCAAAATTGTCGTTTTTAAATTTCACAAGCCATTTTTCCACGCAGACATTTGCCGAGGACACCATCTTCATACACATCGCAAATGTACACGGCCGCTACAGCGGTTTTTTTGAATGGGTGAAAACAGAAGAAGAGCAGATGTCGAAAAGGCTGGTCTTCACCTCTTAGATATTCTATTTCTAGATCTATTAAGTGATAAAAATTGATTCTTCATGAAGACTATTAAAAACATATCAATTTATATTGGACTATATTTAATTTTACTAAAGATTACCAGACCCCATTTACCACGACATCACATTTATACTTACAAATACAACTCGAAACAGTCTTTAGTTGTAAAGCTCCGACTCTTAAACTGGCTATCCTTCATGATGTTTTGAAAACTAACTAGAAAAAAATAATAGTTGAAATTAATAAAGATAATACTTGAAAAATTGAAGCGTAGCCCATTCCAGAGGCGCCTTATCAACATCGAGTGCTTTAGAATTTCACACATCTAATTTAATTCTTTCCAGAAGCGCCCATTTGTACTTCCCAATTGTAGGCACCACTAAATTTCACTTACATACATACCATTTCTTTTGTATTCACTGCAAATTAGCATCTTCTTATTTCTTTTTATTTCAGCAGATACTCTCTCTTTCAGAAAATAGCAATGAAGGATTACGAATAATCATGACCACTTCAACGAATTTCATAACTCAACTGTAATAGCCTGTAACGGACACTCTTCTAATCTTTTTCAATCAACATAATTCAAAAGCCGGTCAGCATGAAAAATCACCGAAAACTATAAAAAACAAAGAAATCCTGCCTTGGCTCTCCTATTATTGCAACAAGGGCGCCAAAACAAAAATAAATTTTTTTCCATATTATCAGTACATGCCTTAAGGAGGCTCTATTGAAACTTAACCGTCAAGCACCAGTTTCAGAAAGAGGTTGTTGTCTTAGAACTGATAGGAATAGATGATGAAAAGATGATGTCCGAGTAGTAGAGGTTGTTGTCACGGGAAGAGCCTGTTCGGAAATGGATACATAGCACGATGCATCTGAAAACACCTTTATTACTTTGTAATTCTTCAATGCTTGTTACCAAAATTCACCACCTGAAGAAGCCTCAAATTCATAAGGTATGGGTTGCACGATGCTCCTACACAGGGCAAGGGATATGGTGATCCTGTTCCATACAAAGGTCCCCAGCCGGGAAATAAGCATCGCACCACAGTGACAAATGCCAGTAAGAAGAAGACAAATTTCATTCTGAAATGACTTTCACCCATGACAAACCGAAAAACCTACTTCAACCAAAACGGAACAAATTCTGAGCATAGGTCTGTGCTTTGATGATGAAGAGAAAGATGAATGCTCTGCCCAGTTTGGCAACTTTATATACCCGGACTGGCTGTGACATTTCGTAATTTCAACAGAATTTATAAATTCTTAAATTTTGAAAAACCAGTTATCTACTGTGGGAATATGAAAATCTTCCGCCACCGTTGGGAAGTTTACGTTTCATAAAGTTTGTGAAAATTTTTGTTCGACGAAAATGTTGTCAAAAATCATAGAGATTTGGCATTTTTTTGCATATCATTTGAAATTCTCGCTACGTCTACCTTGAGCTCTCACCCACATCGTAATCAGCTCACGAACTTTCCCCTATATGAATCAGTCTGAAACCCACTGGTTCAGTCTTGGTTATAACAAGCTTGAACTACTCGTTAACGAAATAGTAGTGCTCGTAGGCCCAGATTTTTCTGCGTGGGACGCAGCAGAATCTTGGACAAGGAGATGCAGCAGATTTCTGGACAAAGACAATGGGGGCAGTATGAACTCATTTTCAGCTTATTCCGGCCACCAGTTCGCTGGAAATGTTTTCCTAATTCCGGCCATAGGGTCTTCGCTCGAGTGTAACCTTCAAATGTACACTGCCAAGTTGGTGAGCGACTTTCTGTCTAGCAGTGGAATTAAGTTGTGGCTGAAAACCATCAGAATACCATCCCGCGGGGACTGGATATTGCAAGAAAAAACGTACATTTTCATCTTTGCTTCTACGATTAAACCGACTCCACCTGCTTAGGACACATTATCGGCTCCTTCTCCCAGCAGAATGTCTTCATCGCCTAACCGGTTCACTGGAAATGCTTTCCTACTTTCAAAAACACCGACAGTGTCAGCTTTGATCATTCCCAACTGTTTCATATATACGTGTATGAGAGAGTCCGTCGGTAAGTTCTGACGTTGTGGGAAGCCATTTGTACTCCGATGCGTCTGTATTCCTTTTTCCTGCCTTACTCCGAGTGTGGGCTTGTTGTGCAACGTCGGGGCATAATGCCACGTGGGAATGAGCGTTGCCGTGAAAGGGTTGATGGTTCCTCCTCATGTTTGTCGGGCAGAGATTTTCACAAAGTTTATGAAGGATAAATCTCTTATGTGTGATTGAGAATTTTCATAATGGCATAATAATTTCTTCGAGCTCTTGAAATGGCCAATAACGGATTTCTCTTGAAGGTATAAAATCTGGTGGAGATGGTGAACGATGTGTCTCAAGCAAAGTTGGCTATGTAGTAGGTGTCAAATGGGGCCCAGCCTTTATCTCTCTCGTTCAAAATCTGATTTTTTTTTGTGCTCAGGTTGCTTCATTTTCCATTGTGAGAGCGATCCATTTCAGAATGCATTTCGCCGTCATCCTACTAGTAGTTGTAACAGCAGTGCACTGTCAAATACCCGGATGGGAACCTTGGATGGGAATTGGACCGATAACCTGGGTCTGCAGAGGCCAAGGATCAAAGATGTCATGCTTTGACCCTTTGGGGGGATATCCGGGAAGCACTACGAACTACCCGACAGGTGTTGACTTTCGGGAACGAGGCAAGAATTATTCTGTAGTTATAGATGTTTTTAGGTGAATCGAGCTCTACGCCGGCTTCTGAATCAACGCCTTCTATGAGAGCATCACCTATAGTCTTTAAAAGGTAAGAATGATCCGAATGACACAAGATTACCTGTTCTAGACATTTTTATACCTTTCTTCAAATATAATAAGTTGTCAAGGTTGTAAGCTATTTTGTATGCATGAGTAGCTGAATTTATGTGGGCGGCAACGGCTTTCGTACCTATAGAAGGTAGGGCAATGTCGGCTCTGGTAGCTCCTTTCCAGAGATCGCGTCGCACTCACCTTATCCGTCCGTGCGCAGTCGCGCGCGATGAAGGGGAGGGTTTGGACCCACAGTGGGAAGATATTAGCTGCCGCGGAACCGCTGCCGCTTGCCGTGGGGACTCGGGTGGAAGTTTCGTCCCTTGGTAATCTCAAGGAAGCTTCCGTCGTCGATGTTCCGTGCACCTCAGATGAAGAAACCATAGAAGTGGCCAGAGGAGGGAGTTGAATTCCCAGCCTATCGGCATAAAGTGACGTACAACCAGTGGGGAATTTCGAGTGGTTTTAAGAACCGCTCAGCCCAGGTCCATAAACGTATTATACTAAGCATAAGGAGCCCTTCGTTCAGGCAGAGGCGCGCACTTTGATCGAATTCATCAAATAAAGTTAATCCAGTAAGAATCTGAGTGCGCCTGAACCGCTTCTCGGCGCTTTTGTTTGTGGGATATTGACGACTTCTGGGTTTTCAGTCTCAGTCAGAGTATCCTGAAGAATCGCGAATTTCGTTTGATAGAAGTATAGCTCATATTTCAGGTGAAGGTGCACTCGAAGTGACCTCAACACAGCTGAGCTGAATGAGAATTTGGCATTGAATTTTCATTAGCTTTTTTGTTATAACACCACAAATAAATCCGTCTATTATTCAAACTTTTACTCGTGCCGAGAATAGTCTGCACTCTGCACGATTGCAGGCCTTCTGTTTCTTTCCAGGGTAGATCTTACACAGCAAAAGATGGTAGTGAACATTGCACATGTACCTAAGATTACTGACCTTTCTCCCTGGAATGAACTTGTGATCGTCGCGGATAGCCAAGGAACGCCGTCGAATCAAAAAACGGACTTGCGCTAGACGCCTCGGCAACAGAAACTCTATACCTCGAAGATCCTGCCCATGCACCACATGCAATAAGGATAGCAACCCAAATTTGAGACTTCTTCATCACTGCGAACATTTGATTGTAATTACTTTTATTCAAAGAAATCACTAGTGGTATCAATCAACTACCTGTTATACTCGCCATTACAATTGCGACCTTCGCTCACCTTTCGTTCCGCCAGAAAATGCCGATCTGTTATTGGAAAGATCCTCTTGATCAGTTTCTATGGTCCTCGTGATTGTTAAAGGTAACGTAACTCACATGCTTCGATGGGAGAGGAGAAGATGATATTAAGTCGGTACAAGGTCAGGAGAACATGGCTGTGCTGAAGAACCTCCTATAAAAGGGTCTGGGTTGTCGGGAAGGAGTATGGTTGGTCTTGTCGATGGAGTCTTATTAGTCGCATAGCCTCTTTCATGAGGTGCAGCTGAGCTGTGTGAAGCCCCTTGAAATTCCTTCCTAGCATGTTCCAAAATTTCACGCCCTTCGCGAAGGGTGTCAAAAAGGTGAGTGCGATCTAAATGCTTTTTGTCTTCTTCACTAGCACCTCCTAATCTTGAATGTTTCCCATGCAGCGATTTTGCTTCTGCTCAACTCCGCACTATGTCGTTCATCATATTGACTTCTTTGGATACATCCTAGATACACAGATACACATGTAACCAGAGAAGACAGTAATATATGTCCCATTCAGCGTGGAAGGAACATCAGGAAGCAATCCTTTTGTTATGAATATCGTATTCGCTAAGTTTAATCTTGCGCCGTGAAGTGAAGACCTTCACTCACAATACTTTACGTTTTAAATAAAGCATGGTTTCCGCAGGTGCGGCATTGAAAGGTTCGGGCAAGATATTATCGCTATGTCGAATCCCTCTGTTCATGTTGAAAAAGTCAACCTTGCAGTAGGGAGAAATCTCAGCCATGAGGTATCGATGCGCTCCTGAAGCATTCTTATACATTGAGCAGGGACACCCCGGTTGCACAAGGCTTCGATAACCCCTTTTTCCGCGACGGTAACAAAGCCTCCTTCAAAATGATAGACGTCAGATGAGACGGCATCTTGTAGTATCGCGATACTTTAATGAGTATTGTGACAGTGTGGAATTGATCACAGTGCTGAGCCATTCCATAAATCTTACTTGTTTGGCTGTACTTCATTTAGTATTTTGCCGAATCTGCTGAAGATTACTAGTGGGAAAAGTTTATAGGTCAAAAACAGCAAGCGGATTGAGTCATAACTGCCAATATCGTCTGGATCCCCCCTCTTATAGATCAACACAGCCTAGTTAGTTCTCAACGACGTGAGCGCTTTCCATTCCGACAAATACCCCGTGAATTGGCTAGCCAGGATTTTGACGATATCTGCTGACAGGCTCTTGAGATGTTCCTGTTTGATCCCATCCTACCGGGTTTCGTACGAATCTCATCAATATGATGGCACTTTGAATTTTGAAGGAGAGAACTGATCGACCGTATATCCGTCTTGCCTAAGATGTTGACTAGGGGAGACAGTAAGAACCGAATAACGATATCGTAGTTTCCGCGAGCCAAGTTAAGCATTTCGGTTAGAGTTCAAAGCAGAACCAGACAACATTTTTCGCATCGACAATAAGTTTCACAAACAAAACGGAGGTCTTACGAAACGGAGTAATCGTATCCTTCTGTGTTAGCAGCCGCATTTCAGGAGTACATCAAAAACTCAATCGCTAAATAGTTGAACTATGTTTTTGACGGCAAGTTCTCTATTGGAACAGCGTAGAGACATTTCGGAACACTGAAGAAGCCTATTTCGCTCGATGCTGGCGTAGTTATCTCGAATGAGGGCACAGAGGGAAATAAACATCGTCCTTTTTCTCCCAGCTCCCCTACACTTGAAGTCTCCTAACGTTGTCTCGAATTTGAGGAAAAATGTGTTGCGATGCGTTTCGTCGATACTGCAGTTTTGAGATGGTTTGCCTGTAGAGAATAAAGGCTCACCTTTCAGTGTATGGATCCACTAGCCACGCTGGTTTTCTGTTCCTGATGGATAATATTGCTGATATTACTGAGACTATTGGCCATATTAGAAGTTCTTCTAGAGATATTGACGGGTGTTATTGAAAACATTGACTACATATTGTATTGCTAGTATTGGTGATATTGTTCCTTTACCGATGCTAGAAGAATCGTTAGGGATCGTCAATATCACTCAAGCACAGTATCGCTGAAGAGTCTCTTGAGATGAACTAGAACCAGAAGAGGAAGAACCGTCAGAACCGAAGCTGAAACCAGAAGCAGAGGCTGAAGCCTCTTAAGTTCGCAACCTCGCTCTTTATGTGGCATCGCCCGTCAGCGGCGACGTAATGAAAAACATCTGGAAAATCATATCAGTCCATTGATAAGAAGTCGAGCTCACGGCGTTCAATAAATGAATAGGTCGTTCTGGCGATATATAATACAGAAGTAGAGTCTTTCGCTACCGCTATTCTATCCAATGCAGGATGTGGAGAAAAAGACGGGGACAGGGCAAGGTCCCTAAGATTTGCGTGGATGAGCCCAAAATAACGTTCGCTTACTCTGTTGCTTATCACAAAGCACACCCCGATTATGGTTCTGACACATCAATTTATGATTACAACAGGTTTTGTAACTTTAAAACAACCCGTCATAAGGTGTTCCAGATGTTTGAACGAGTTTTTATGTTAATGTGAGATTTCTAACCACCGATGAGAGGTTTGTTCTCTACAAACTTCGTGAAATTATTCTGTGATCCATTAACGAATTCGTATGTATGAGCTCTAAGTTCTCTAGCCCTTCTCACAGCTAAATTAGATTCTAGTTAGTTAGTTAAGTATAAGCAGCCATCAAAATTGAAAAGTTCTTGCACATCAGTGAGACCTTCACCGTGTATACTCCTAACATAACTTTTTGAGCGAAGGTTTGTCTAACAACTGAAACAAATGGTGGTTAAAATGTTGCCAGAACGCCCTGAGATTAGGCTCAGAATAGAGTTTTGCTCTACTGTTAAAAAAAAAAACTAGAAGGCAAGGACGAATTAGTCACAATAGAGAACTACGGCAACTGAACTAACGATGAGTGAACTGCTAATAAATATTTTATCGCCACTACATGGCCTCGAAGGTCTGCGAAGTTCTGAGCGATATCCGATACGTCGAAAGCGATATAATTGAAAAAAATCCACAGTTTTCGTTTTGACCTCCACTATCTCCTCTTTCTCTCTTTCATTGTTTCGAACCTAGGTTTGTTTCACGTTCAGTTTAAAGAAAAATAACTTAAGTTTTTGAAGTTTAGTCAAGTTTTATATCGGCACTGTTAATCTTTAGGTTGACAGTGCCGAGATACAGTGATAAAACCCTGTGAGCCATTCCTTTAGAAGAGCCTTGATCTGAAGTTTCGAAGGGGTTCCAGTACGTATTGTATTGGAACATATTACCACCTGAAGAGTGGTAATATGTTCCAATACAGTACGTAGAGAATATCCGGAAGGCATTACTTATATCGAAAAATGGCTTAAGCTGTATGATAACAAACTTTTGAAATTAGATTTCGTTTTTCTTACGGAAGAAAATAAAACTGCACGGGCGGAGGTGGTGTACTCGCAAGTGGTGCAATGTCACACACGCATGGTCACGGGTTCGAATCCCAGATAGATATGCGCCTGGCCAACCAAAACTTTATCTCTTTGGGGTCGAATAATTGGTATTCGTTTGAAAGATAAGAGCAATGACATGAACATTGACTAACGAACGCAAGCCACTGTCAACATACGCAACGTCAGTCGGTCACTACGATTTTGAAGGGAAGTCATATGTGGGAGCGCATCCCTCAGAAGGAAAGCAGGCAAAGCGGGTGCCTAAATTCGTCTCTGGCTGGATAAGCAACTGCAAGGTGCGGCCTTCACTGACTGTAAAGTCGAAAAATGAGTGCCAAAGTTAAGGAAGGCAGAGCGTCGAATGATGGGAGTAGGGATAGAGCAGTGTCGAGCTTGCTTATAAACCTACGTTTCGCCTAGTTTTTCTGAAGGACTGAACTAATTATTTAGAAAAGGACTTAAGAACTGAATTTCAACTTCGGGTGGGGGACAGTTAAGGGGAGAACCCAGATGCCTAGTTGACAAACGAACGCATACAGTACTACAGCAACTCGTGATCCGGGAAAGAAAAGCTTCACGTTCTGCACGGTAATTTCCTCATCCTATTTAGTGACTCGATATATTGCCATTAACATAAAACGTGATGGGGAAGCACTTGGAAAAATCTACCCTAGGAGGCCCTCTATCATTGATGGTCCCTCGGTTTTTGTATTCGATTACATTGTTGCCATTCAATCTGCACGCAACCTTTGCGTTGTTCGAGGAAATCTTAATCAGGGGAAGGTTGGCATATTCAAAATAGCTGCGTATTTTTGGATAACGCTCATTTCATGCATTCCCTCATGTTCACACAGATACACACATCCACACACACACCGACACACGCTTCGTACCATTGAAGGGTTTTAAATTTCCATGGAACATTGAATAGAGATTTAGATATATCTGTAGAGTTTAGAATGCTATTAACAAATTTAGAAATCAAAACTGCTAGGTGAGTTTACCACAACAGTTGTGATCGCTCAAATTTTGCTCGCCTAAAACACGGAGAGGTATGCGAATTGAAATACCTAGTTGCAGAGAAAGGCGTCAGGGTTCGCCGTGGCGTAGTGGTAGTGCTCTCCCTCTTCGGACGAACGAAGAGATTGACCACCATTTTATTAATGATTCAATTTAGCGCATTGTTTCCACTATCACTTGCGATCAGGGATCACCTATCCGTCATCACACTCATCTGGAAAAACTTAATTACAAGTCATTTCTGTAACGTATTTTTTTTNTTTTTTTTCAACATTGATACATCTGCACGTTGAGTGAAATCATCTTGGAATATAGGTGCGCGAGTAAACTTATGAAACAACCCAAAAATGTGTAGAGGAAACGTTTATTTCTTTAAACTTGAATCGATTGTTTTGTCTATGTCTGTATAGAAACAGCACGTACAAGGTGCGCATTTCGTGAACAATATAGAACTTTACTCATTTCTTGGATTCTTCCATCTCGCATACCCGCTCGGAGTGGAAGGGTTTTGCTCCTCATTCCTGTCTTTCCAACGTAAGCTCTCTCATCAGCGAAAGCTTTGATAACATTTCCTGACAATTATTTGAGACATATATGAAATGATCTTGACTGTAATCGACGCTCGTTGTTATTATATGATTCATAATAGATCTTCACGTGAATTTTATGAGTCTCCTTCATTTTCGAGGTTGTTCATGATACCCATTGGGAGAAATCACCTTGAAACAGATATGCTTGGAAAACTCAATATCGATTGAACAATCCAAAAGTGAGTGAAGCAGTATGCTGTTCACGAAACGCGAAACTTATACATGCTGTCTCTCTACAACCGTAGTCAAAACACTGAATCGATTTACCTAAGGGAATACATGTTTCTTGTACACTTCCTTTGGTTGTTCCATGAGTTTTCTCACAATCTGTGTTCCAAGACGATTTCACTTGATCGTGTGGATTTCGCAATTTTAAAGTAAAAAAGTTGTTGAATAAGTCATTTGTCCTTCTCCAGTCCATCCCTCCAGGGTAGAGATTTTCACATTCTTGTAGAGGATAAATTTCTAATATGTTAGTGGAAATTTTCACGCTGGCATTATTATTTCTTCGAGCATTTGAGATGGCCTATAGCGGATATCTTCAAAGTTATAAAATCTGTTGAAATTATAGAAGGATGCATCACAATGGTCAAAGATCTGGGTATGTAAACCTGCCGAATGAGGTCGCAGTCTTTATCTTTTTCTTTATCATCGAGGGACATACGTAGGCTCGAGATTTGATTTTTTCGGCTTGGTAGGTTCTTCATTCATCATGAGACAGAATTGATTCAGAGGGAAAATCTTCATCTTCATACTCATGGTTGCTGCATCTGTCCGCTGTCAAATACCTCGATGGAAACCTCGGATGGGAATAGGACCAGTAAGCAAGGTCTGCCGCTGGGGGAGAGCACCACAAGGATCGTGCTATTACCCCCTCACGAGAAAAACTGTGTACTTTAGGACAGGTACTGACTTTTGGCAGCAAGCGAGGAATTATCTCAGAGTTTTGTTGAAGGAGTTTTAGGTGCATTAAGCTCCACACCCACTCCTAGGAAAGCTCTCTTGATGGTGACGACCTCTTCTACTTGGATGCCTGATCCATACGCAACCATTTACAGGTGAGAATGATCTTAATGAAGCTTGACTAATTGTTTCAGGAGCCTTTGTTTGTGGTAGTAGGAAATCCCCCCTCCCCCCTTCCTTCATCCCAAATCCTACCAGTGGCTTCGAATCGTCGAGGGGGCGAGGGGGCGAAACGGAACAACTCTGTCTAATAGTGGAAGTAATCACCGCCTCAATGGGCTAGCTACCCGAGGATCAGTATATAAGCTTCAACACGCACAAAAAGGGCCCAGAGCGGCGCAGATGGAAGTACGAGCTAGAAGTGCAGTAGAGCAAACGACGACCTGAGGGGCTCTGTAGACAAAAACCGCCGCAGGATTCGGAGTGCACAGGACGAAAGCCTTCAAGGCATGGAGACTGCTCACGCATTTGCACCTATAACTGCGTACCATTGTCCCGAAAGCGGACCAAACCATGTTGATTGAGACCAGCAAGAAAATCCGCTTCAACGTCATTAAACCCAAAGAAACGAAAACCTACGAAACAGCCTTGGAGAAGACCAACGACGACCACCTGCTCGTTCTAGTAGCGAAGGTTGATAGAAGAAACGTCGAAAGCGTTGGATTTCTAGTACACCGTCGGATCGAACTCTGGTCGACTCAACCGAGGTACTCGGCCTGCGATTGGCCATTCTTCGCCCACGCGCCGGCAAGCGCACCATCGTCAGCATTATCAACTGCTATGCACCAACGTCAACAGCAAACGACGGAAAAACGGACACCTTTTGAAATCAACTGGAGGAGGTTACAAAGAATGAGCATTCATACTACAAGTATATTGTCGGAGACTTCAACGCGAGGAAAGACAGGCGACGCGCACAATGGGCCCGTCAGAGTCAAGGTTCGCCTACGAGCGAAACATTGAAGACAAGTTCAATTCAGGCCTCCTCGCATACAGTGCCATGGAGGTGGCCGCTGCTCAGTACACGTCGCAGGAGGCACAGGAGCTGTCACGAAATTAGGACTCGCTAGTACCATGACTTCTACACTGCGCAGCGGTATCGGCTGTGTCAGTAAGAATGAATTCAAGGAGTAGAATCTATGAAAATGTTTGCGCACTCCTTCAACGACGGGCTGCAGTTTACCGTAACTCTGCATCAGCACTACTAGAACGCACTTCGATCAATAAAGCGTACTGCATCGCTGTGAGAGAGTCGATACAGTGATACAAAGACAGAAGACGTCGACTGAAGGAATCAGCAGAGGCGAGAGCGAGCCTCAAGCAACGTCGCAAGGACTTTGATGACTCTCGCTCGGTCATCACGGTTATGAGGGACGCGATGTGCAGACGACAGACATCGAGAACGAAGGTCGAGTAGATTGCCATGACCTACTACACGAATCTTTTCCGCTCGACGGCACCGGTTTCCCGTATACCTGCGGCAACACAAGAGGTGGTTCTGCGGATAGAAGAATGGGAGGTAGAACGCGCTATTGGTCAGATGAAGCCGACAAAGGTACCTAGACCGGACCGCATCTCAGCAGACTTTTTGAGTCAGCGTCCTTCATTGTTATCACCCAGCTCACCGGGCGCTATAACAAGTACTGGTATGCTCAGAGGATTCCGGACCAGTGGAAAAAAATACGGTTTTTCTGATCAAGAAGAGCGAGTCGATCAAATGAGAAACTACCGTCCAATTGCGCCTCTCTTGCAGCCGTACAAGGTGTTCACTAAGATTGTCCTAGGCAAACTCGAGAGGCATTTGGACGACTACCATCCAGTCGAGAAAGCCGGTTTTGCAAGATCTTCTGCTGTGTGGAACATATCCACATATAACCCTGCCGACAGAGCGGACTAAGGAATAAAAACAACCGCTCTTCTGCTTTTTAGGGTGACACGATATTTCCCGAACTATTCTCCACTGCACTCGATGCGGCAACTTGACTAGGACGATAAAGACATCTACATCGAAGGCAAGAAATTATCCAGCTTGCGATTCGCAGACGATACCTTCTTCTTCAGCCAAAACCGAGGAGCTGCAGCAGATGGTGGAGGAGCTGAACGAAGTCGGCAAAGCCATTAGCCTCAGGATGAACCGCAGCAAAGCAATGGTCATGCGTAATGAATATGCGCATGCGTCACCCATCGTCCCTCACATTAGAATGAGCCCTGGTCCCATATGTACCTCGGCCGACTCATCTCCATGGACAACGGTTTACGTGCAGAGATCATGAAGCGCAGACGATGGATGGCAATGGAAAGCATCAAAGAAGCTGCTCAACTCGCATCGGACAAGAAAATACGAGCTGAACTTTTCGACTCTAGATATACTCTGGTATTGCCTGCATTCTGTTACGCATCCGATATGTGGACGGAGAACAGGACGTCGGAGCTAGTGTTGGTTAGCGCACAAAGAGCTGTGGAGCGAACGATGCTGAAGATCAACCTCGCAATGCAGAGAAGTCTCAACCTCCGTAGCGCAGACATACGCTCAATGACCGGCATTCGTAACACCGAGGCGTATGCATGGAACACAAAAGAACAATGAGCAGGACAGTAGTGAGACGCACGGACGATCGGTGGATCAAACGCGTTACATTCTGGTACCCACTTCAGGTTGAGCGAGCACTTGGCCGTCCTGCAAAAAATGGAGTGAGTCACTAAAGAAACTTCAGGGGAATGTTGGCTAATACTGGTTCCAAACCGCTCAAGATCGTCAAAAATAGTGGGAAGCGTGTGTTTGCCGCTGAGGATCATCAGCCGACAACGAGCGTCCAAGTATCCAAGTAAGTAAGTAGGAGATTATACTGAGAAGCTACTGGTTTTCTATAGTTCCTATTAGTTACCGGCCGGATAGCTCGTCTGCACCGAGCTCTCCTTCTTTCGAGTCAATTTCACCTGTCGCCCTGCCTAGCCCAAGTTTGAATGTTCTGGTAAGGATAAGTGGGTTTGGGTGGGTATGAATTTCGGGCCAAATACACACACATACACATACACAAATGCACACATGCACATACATACACACATACACACGTAAACGAACAGACACGCTCAGCGCGTTGCATATAGTAGCATAATATGTTGTCAGGATTGTAAGTTATATTGAACGCATTAGGATACTCAATCTATGTGAAATATTCCGATCGGCAAAATAATGGTACCACTTAGGCATGTTCCCAGACAAGCTTCTGTCGATTGTTTCGGGCAATCATAGCTAAGGAAAATATTGAAGCGACCGCGCTTACTCGCTTCATGTCCTCCTTCGTGGGAAATAGGAGGTCGGCTTAATTTTCTTCGTATCAGCATAGAAAGATATATTACAAGTGAGAAGTTACGAGTATTGATGGGAACCGCTTAATTCATGTCTTAATGCGAATAAGCTCGAGAAGCCCTTCGTGAAGGAGCGGAAGATACTTCGATCGAATGTCAGACTAAGCTCGGGAAGCCCTTTGTGAAGGAGAGGAAAGTACTTCGATAGAATATCATTTGATAATCAGAAAAGAGGTCGAACCTGCTCTTTCAGAAGGAAAAGGATAGATACGATAATTGTGTTTTCGATATCAGTTAGAGAATACTAAAGAAGAATAGGCGGTGTAGTGGCAAGTGGCGCACAATCTCACAGCCTTGACCAAGGGTTCATATCCCGGATCGATCCACGTAGGCCAAATAGGCCTCCCATCCTTCCTAAGTCGGTAAATTGGTACCAGACTCGTCTGGTAGGATAAAAGCACAGACTTGTACACTGGCTGACCACCTTAAGTCACAGGCCACATACGCATCCATTACAACACTACGATTCTGAAAGGAAGTCGAATGCAAGGCCGCATCATTCGGATGCGGTTGATTACTGCCAAAAACTTTATCATTCGTTCTTACCGAATCACGAGTTATATGTAATTCCTATTTTAGGGGGTGATGCATTCGAAATGAACATAACACAGCTGAGCTGGATGACAAGCAGAAGAAATTCAGCATTGAATTTTTATCAGCTATTTTTCCTTGTAACACCGCAAATAAACCTCTCTGCAATTTTAACTTCCTACTAGTACTGAGGCGTTTTTTGAAGGAGGAGCCGCATTCCTCCTTCTTGTTTCCGGGGTAGATCTTGTACACGAAACAATGGACAGTGAACATAGCAACTTAACCTTTAAAGAAACGCGCAGTCACCGTCTTAGCGATGGCCGCAGTCCCATGCAATACTCTACGAAATGTACATTCTTGCGAACTGAAAGTCTCACCTTTTATTTGCAAGTGCCTGGGCACGCTGAATGTTTGCGTGTTTTACTATTACTCAATATTTTTGTTGCTTTCCAGAAAAATAAAAGCGATGAATCACCGTAAAAGGTGAGCACTGATGGCAGGGCACTGCCCATCGGGTTCATACGTTCCTGCTACGACCGCTTCTTATTAGCTCTGGGATGCTAGCAATCGATGACGATTTCTTGTTTCACTTCTGAAAATAAATTGAAAATGAAAATGAATATTTTCCGAACATTCCAAATTTGCGTAGCGCAACCCGGCGTTGCTGGCCGTGTCCATAGTGCCCTCGGTGCGATGGAAAATTCACACCAAAGACATGGATGCTAAATGCCGAACTATTCAAACAACATTTTTCGACTGTTTTATGCAAATTACTGTAGAGCAGAGAATTTGACGGAGATTGTTCCAAGCAAACAGATGAACTTCGTTGGCAGAAAGACGGACGTGCTTTGTGATTAAATGGGTAATACTGTCGTGGGTGCTGTGCGACGGTCCAACATTTTGCTCTGATTGCTATGATCTGATTTTCTGTACTTCTGCTCGACTTCAACAGATTCACTCTTTGCTCGCTGTGGCACGTGAGCATTTTCGATCGTCTTTAGTGCCACCAAAAACGGTAGTTCGCTGTTTTTAATTCGCTTGAAGTGTCAGCGTTTGCCGCTGCGGGTTGATTGATTAGAGTCGTGACATTGATCAATTCATATATTCGCCATGGATCTACTCGGCGGTGCCTCGAGAGGTGCTAGTGGGCAGAAGCAAGGCGAGCCAGGAGTGGTGGATGTGGTGTTCCCCAAAGAGTTGCACAAGCAAGTGGAGGCCATAAAGAAGTCTGGCCGAATTGCTAATGGGATAAAGAAAGTGATAACTGCGATCACACGTGAACTCCAGTCACTTCGCTTGGAGAATATAGAGCTGAGGCAAGAATTAGATTGTGTACGCAAGTTTGTGCCTCGTGAGTCGCCACCTGTCACTAACGTTGATACTCCGTCAGAGGATCGGGGTCGAACAACGTCCGGTAATGTTCCTGCTTCTACTCAAACCGGGGTACCCTACCAGGAAGTGGAGAGACTCCGATATATTGTAATTAGTGGGGTACCTGAAGGGAAATGTCAAAGTACACGAGGACGCCTTTCATACAATTATGCTAGTATATGTAATATTTCAGATTTTCTTGGCATTGAATGTAACCCCATGCGTGTATACCGTCTAGGCAAAAAAAGTGAAAAGGTGAAAAAGGCACCACGGCTCCATTACTTTACTAGGCAGAGAATCTATTTAAGAGAGTGTCTGATTTCAGAGCAAAGGAGGCGTAGGCGTGAGGAACGTAGCCGCATGACTAGGCATGAGAAATGTACACCACCTGCCGATAGTGGTTTAACCGCACTTTCGATGCTACTTATTTGGGTAGGCGCTCCAATAGCATTGAGGAAACTGAGAAGTTTTTTCGGCATGTTGGACCGCTCAAGTGTTTCTATGCTAAAATACATAGGCCAGACGATAAAAACAAGAAGTTCCTAAAGATTTTGCTGGCGTAAAACTACGATATTCTTGCAATTTCGGAGGCATGGTCAAAACCTAATCACACTTTAGCCGGCTTATTGGTACGGTTGTGGACCCCTCCGTCGTAGTCAGATGTGACCGTCCGAAAAAACCTGGTGGTGTTGTCATTCTTCGAGCTCAACGTAGGCTTTCGCTATTTCCAGTATTTGTCGAATCAGTAGAGGAGTCATTCGACATACTTTGTGCAGAGGTATTCTGTGACAATTCCAGTTTTAGAATAATTGTGATTTATAGAGCACCCTCGTGTTCCAGAGCAAACTCCGAATTGCTTGATAAAGCACTTAGTGACCTGATATCATGTGAGAAACATAGTGTCGTACTTGGTGATTTCTTTCAATTTGCCGGAACTTTATAACCAGTCAGAAGGCTGTCCTGATTTTGTCGATTCGAAAACAGCAAAAAATCGAGTCAAAATATGATAGGGTAAAATAATCAGATTCATGCGAAAGAGCCATCATAGAACCCTGAGAATTATCGCCCCGTAGGTATTACATCTCTTTTCCGTCGGCTGTTCGAGAAAGTCCTGAGAAAGCACATCAATCATCACTTGTCTATTAACCATATTGTTTCGAGGCACCAGCATAGTTTCACTCCTGGTCTTTCTGTTCAAACAAATATGATCGAGTGTCTGAAAGACTGGACAAAAGCTCTTCACGAGAAGCTTTCCGGCGACGTCATTTACTTTGCCAGAGCTTTCGATAGTGCTTCGCACAAGGAGCTGATCGTGAAGCTGAAGGCTTTGAAGTTCCACCCGATCATTACGAATCGAATCTCAGAGTATCTGAGTAATAGAATGTTCCTATTTATGATTGGTCAGTCTTTTTCGGAAGTCCGGCGGGTAGTAGGCGGTGTGCCCCAAGGAGGTGTACTGTCACCGGTGCTTTTCAATGTTTTCACGGCTGAGCTTCCCGATATGCTTCGTGGAGTAGGCTTCACTCCGAAGATGAATGTTGACGACATAAAAATCTATAGGGCAATCGCAGTAGAAGCAGACTCTCAGGAACTGTAAAGAGCAATTGATCTAACGGTGAGTTGGTCGAAGAATCGGCAAATGCCTATAGCGCCACACAAGGCAGTGTACATGCAACTAAGTTCTTGTACTTCACCAACGCGAACGTACACGTACATGATGTGATTCTCTCTGCTGTGCAATCCTTCGAAGACCTCGGCTTTTACTACAACGACAAAATGGACTTCACGGAGCACATTAAAACGGGGATCAGAGTAGCCAATCTTTGGATATTCCAAATTTTCAAAGGGTTATCTCTAGCTAGTGTGGGAGCCTTGTTGCGTCTTACCCTCGTCGTATGTGCGACCTCTGGTCGAATCCAGCACTACCG